TCTTAACGATCAGTCCACTGTGGGACACTTCATTGGTGGCATAAACAGGCGTCCTTCACAAAACCCTCTGATAGTTCCTCCAATTGCTTCAAACCTGACTTAGTAGATTTTTTTCAATTTTGAATTGCAAGATCCTCTTCCAGAAGCAGATGTAGCCATTTTCAGTGTCAGAAAAAAGGCAATTAATTTCGGAAATTCAGAATACGAAAAGAAAAAAGCCAGTATCATGCTCCCCACACTCATATATTCCAACAAATCATTTTTATTCAACAGCAAAAAATAAAACTAAAAATTAAAAAAAAAATTAAGAAGAGTATTTTTAATCCGGATCAAAAATAAAACTTAATGAAATTTTTTATTAATAAAACGTCGATCCGATGCTTAAAAACGAACTCTGAACAGGACTTACCACAAAATTCTGGACAGATCACCGTTTTTAAATTTTTCAGATTACAAAAACAGGACTTATGATTTTACAAAATTATTAATAGATTTTTTGTAAAAACAGAACTATGTATAAAAAGACTGGAATGACCCCTTTACATACAAAACAGATAAACTATCGCACACTAGAATATTTCGACTCAGAATTTTTAGAACAATCACTTTAAAGTAAGAACCGGAAATACTTCAAAATTAAAAAAAAAAATTTATTCAATTATTTTAAAATAACAAAAACCATACTTGTTTTTGTTTGTTTATTTCCTCTTTGAGCTCCACTACTTCTTTTTCACTATCAGTAACCTTTTTCTGCATTTCTTGTGTTGACTCTTCTTGCTTAGATGCTTCTAATGCCTTACATTTTTCTTCTAGAGCTTTACATTTTTCTTCTAAAGCATCATTGGAAGCTTTTAATTCATCAGAGAGCTGCTTGTATTTTCTTGCTATTTTTTTCAACTACGTAGAAAAGCAAAACATGATTGATTTATATATACACATACATCTACAAATCCCATGTGCCTAGCTGCTACTGAGTCTTTAAAATCTTAATTGGCAAACAATATAATAGTAAAATTTAACATAAACCTGTTATACTACTTTCTTTTCTATAGCATGTTGGCTATATATATATATTTATATATAATAACAGTTCATGACCCAGGCACATAAGTTGTGGCCCAGGGAGTTTTCAGCTATATTTTATCATACATTATTGAGCCATTTACTTTTTATATTGTTTTTTATTATTATTATAACTAACACAATATGGAAGGAAAAATCTTTGTGATAATTACTTCTAAAAATGTTAATATTAATTTATTTTTTTTACCAGGAAATGAATTTACAATTTTATCAGATTGTTTTTTGCTCAGAATAATGAATAAAGATTTTAGACAATCAATGCTTTTTTTTTATCAATGAAAATGCATTAAATAAAATTAAAAACATCTTAAAACAGGAGAAAAAAACTAAGTAATAGTTTTATAGATTATTTTAACAAGGCTGTCTACTATAGCTGATGCTTTGCCGACATTATAGGGATTATATTCAGTAGTTATCAAAATACAAAATGAATCACTTCATGCAAAACAATTTCAAAAGTTTTTTGAAACAATGAAATAAGCTACAATATAAGCAATTTTTAAAAATATTAATAATACTAACAAGTTTTAATTATCTAATAATTAGAATCAACAGAAATCAAACATTACGATTTAAATTTTGCTTATTTGTAGTGCTAGTCTTACACAAACTTAAAATTTTTTAATTTATATATAAGAACATTTGCAAATTTTCCTTTTTTTAAAGTTTATTTATTTAATTTTTATTTTTTTGAGTTTATCAGCAGGTGAGTGATGTGAGACAAGGTATAGATTTGTTTTAAAAACAAAAATTACAAGATTGCTTTATTAATATGCATAATTTGCATCTTTAAATCCATGTTATTTTCAAGAATTTTTTTAAATATGGAATTAAACGTGGTGCATTGAAAAGATTTAATTGATTTAAGAACTAAACTTATAACATTGTTTTAATAATAGCATACTCTGCTGACTTATTTCAATGTCATTAAGACAACTTTAAAAAAGTGCATGAATAAAAAATAAAAAACATACCTGTAAACTATTTTTTTGGTGTTCAGATTGTGCATCATTCAACTTATGGATTTCTGCATCTTTATTTTCTACATCTTTCTTAAAAACATCCACATCTTGCCTCAGAGTCATCACCTCATTCCTCAGGGAATTCAAAAATTCAGCATCCTTCTTCAAAGAGTTTATATGCATTGCATGAGAATTCACTTGTGCAGTCAGTTGAGATACCTCAGCTTGTTTACGTTGTAGCTCTTCAGTGAGTCTGCATTTTTGAGATTTCAGTTCTTCCATTTCTCGCCTACAAGAAATAAATTTCACATAAAAATAGCAAAGTTAAATCATTAATAAATAAAAATATTTAGTCAAACTGTACTATTTCTCTTTCTTTTTTTTTAAACTGAAATACTTTTAAATTATTTTATCAACAGCAGTATACATAATCTTTTTGTTAGGAAAAGGTTCCTTATTTTAAAATTTTTATAGTGCATTTCATTTTCTTTTTATAAATAATTTAAAATAATGTAATTTTCAACAGAATATGAGTTTGCAATGGAATTTTTTTTTCTTCTTCAAAAGAGTAATTTGTAAAGTTAAACAAGCCTTAAAAATCCCAGAATAAAAATAAATAAAAAAATTACCCACAATTTTTCCTAATTAAATCTTTAGGTTCAAAACTAGGAAGATTTTACCAAAAAAAAAAAGGATTTTGAGCATGGTATACTTTTTTATACACTTGGAATTTTTTAATTTTCGTAATTTACCTTTTATATGATTTTTCACTGGATACTAAATAAAGAAAATATTTGAAAAGTAGAAATTTTCTTCAGTGAATTTCAATTTTGCTAAATGAAAGACATATTTTGAAATCAGATTTATTTTCCTTATAAAGTACATTTAGCAGGAAAGCTTAATTAATGATCTAAGAAATACACTTTAAATAATTTTTGAATAAATTTTTATAAATAAAGCATAAGCCAGAACTCAAATGACTAAAAATAAATGCACAAATATTAAAAGCCTTAAATAAATAAAATAAAAAAATAAACACACACACACATTATGAAAACTCCTAATTGGAGTTCTAAACTCCTTCTTTAAGTTAGTTTTTAATTACAATAGTAAAATAAACAAAATGAACAAATGTAGAATTTCTAAATTATATATCAAAGAGAAAATAGAAAGTATTTCAACCATTAAAAGAAAAAAAAATATGTAGACTAAAATAAATAAAAAATTGAGAGGAAATTTTGTATGTTTTTTTTTTTTTTTACTAATTATTTACAATGCAAATATTAAATACATACAGTTTAAGTGGATAAGAAAAATAATCAGAATTTTAATTCAAAGAATATATTTTTGCTTAAGAATACAATTAATTAAATATTATTTTGAAAGATTTATGGTTTAAAAAAAGTAAAATGTTGATAATGACTATATAAAATTATTCAAAAAATTAACTGTAAGTTTTTTTGCTTTGCTTAACCAGGGTTCCCACTCTATGATGAGATT